AACATTTATCTGAATTTATTTGCTCTGAATTCACCCCTTTGAAATTATTTTACTTTGGAAACCATGTATGTATCTGAATTTATTTGTTGCAAATTTACCTCTGAAATTTTAATAGGCCTATGAAAATTCTTGATTTCCATTTTAAAAACCTGAATTTCGATGAATATTTTTCAATGCTCACAAATTCGGATACAAAAAAAAATAAACTTACAGAATTTCAGATAAAATAGATTTAGGTTGATCAAATTCGACTGCTCAAATTCAGATCGAAAAATTCAAGTTAAATATTCACATGGTAACATCTAACATCCGGGCTACCCAGGATAGGCCACGCCCACACCGGGAGAAAAACAATCTTTGAACCGTCTCCATTGACTTTGCATTGCGAGAGGCTGCCTCCTTGTCATTTATGACTTATAACAAAAGACAGAAAATGCCTAAAAGCTGCTGTGTGACAAGGTGTACAGCAAACAAGCTAAAAAAAAACAGAAATACATTTTTATAAGCTTCCGAACCGTAAAAGCCAGCCTTTAAGGAGACAAAAGTAAATACAGGCAATAAGACGTGAAGCATCAGCAGGAAGAATGGGTAAATTGAATATATCTCCTCTTCTCAGGTTCACATAGTGTGGTGAAATAAGCAGTCGACATGGTTAAAATTAGGAAGGTTTTTTTTTTTTTTTTTTTACAATATCATGTCGCGTTCCAGTGGGTGTAGTTCTCAGTTCGAGAACTAGTTGCGCTCTTTCTCAATTGATCTACTTTTATGTCCTGAAACAAACCGTTTTTTGGAGTCGACAGCTTATTAAAAAAATATTTCTGTTTTTTTAGCTTGTTTGCTGTACACCTTGCCTCACAGCAGCTTTTAGACATTGTTTTGTTTTTTGTTATAAGTCATAAATGACAAGGAGGCAGCCTCTCGCAATGCAAAGTCAATGGAGACGGTTCAAAGATTGTTTTTCCCCCAGTGTGGGCGTGGCCTATCCTGAGTAGCCCGGATGTTACCATGTGAATATTTAACTTGAATTTTTCGATCTGAATTTGAGCAGTCGAATTTGAGATTCGAATTTGATCAACCTGAATCTATTTAATCTGAAATTCTGTAAGTTTATTTTTTTTTATCTGAATTTGTGAGCCTTGAAAAATATTCATCGAAATTCAAGTTTTTAAAATGGAAATCAAGAATTTTCATAGGCCTATTTAAATTTCAGAGGTAAATTCGAAACAAATAAATTCAGATACATGGTTTACAAAGTAAAATAATTATAAAGGGGGTGAATTCAGAGCAAATAAATTCAGATAAATGTTTTTCAAAATAAAATATTTCAAAACTCAGTGGCTGTTAAATTTCAAATAGTTATGTCTCTTTTTTGCTTCTATACAGATACTATAATTACAAAACATCATTGTCCATTCTCTTTCCTACACTTACATAACCTTAAAGATGAACTTAACTGAAAAAAATCGACGTTGATAACGTGTTGTTTATGACAATTAAAAGTAAATTACACTAAAAATTTTAATTAAAAATATCAATATAGCTTTTTTTAAGCAACACAAAAATTGCGCTTGTTACGCTGGCAGTTTCGATGACGTCACTGGCATGGTAGGACACGCAAAGGTGCATAGGCAACAGCTGCAGGTCCTAATACACAGACGAAAATGAGCACTTTTAACGGCATGGGTTACACATTTGAACCTGTGAGGGACAGTCCAGTAGTTTCTGACTACAACCACCACATGGAGGATCAGTTTCAGGCTCCACATAGCCTACAGCACAGGATCGTTTGGGGCGAAGTGACTGGTGTGGGTGTGTGAGCTGCCGGAGCATGGACACAATCAGAAGCAACACATATAACTGTGATTGGCTACATCACTCAACGCGATGTTATAGCGTTGTTATGAATATGAATAGAAACTCTGCCCTGTAAATCGTTTCTATTTTGTTTTAGTTGTTCTTGTTGCTTTTCTGCAACAGATGAATAAAAATCTAGTAGTTTTTATGTTTTATTCATAGATATTTCTAGTTCGCGGGAGTCCCGCGAATCGTTTTATTTATAACCCGCACACACAGAGTGAGTGCATTACCGCCCGCGCTCGCACTCTATAGTCTCGGCCATCAGATCTAGTGCCGCGCAGCACTCTATTGCGTTGGGAGTGCACGTCTCAAGGATAGTGTCGGGAAATATCGCTCAGAATAAATGCTCTAGTTCACTCTTCCTACGCTAAGGAACCGAGAGTTGTCATCCAGTCTCTTTGCTAGAGAGAGAGAGACGAGGAAAACAAACAAGCATGCATATGGAAATTATCGCGGCCGGAAAAATTATCGAGATACGTTTCTGATTCCCCAGCCATGTCAGCTAGCCTCAGACTATTTACATGCTAATGGCTGCTCTGCTGGTGTTTGACTTTGTTGCCAACGGAGTAGCCTACCATGCCAGTGACGTAGCCGAATGTTGAAATCCAACATGGCGGCGCCCGTGTAACAAAAACAACATTTTCAAAGTACATTTTTATCCCTTTTAACAAATTCTGCCATTTTAATAATTGTACCAATGATAATAAATACAATAGATCTGTTATATCACCGTTTTTCAAATTTCAGTTCAGTTCATCTTTAATTCCCTTCAAATAAAACTCTCACATACACAACAAACTTTATTTATCAATTAAATCCTATTGAAAACTCCCGCCTCCCTTAAAAAAGACAACAATATTCTATTCTGCGTCCCATTTACTGCTCTTAATAACCCTTTTAATGTAATCTCTTGCACCCCAATCTGCCTCGACTTATTCTTCATCACCTCCCTCTGCATTTCATATCTCCTACACCTCATAATTATGTGCTCCACTGTCTCCTCTTCTTGACATCCCTCACACAACCCTGTCTGGTGCTTCCCTATCATCTTTAGTGTTTTATTCAGCGAACAGTGTCCCAACCTTAACCTCGTCATCACAGCCTCTTCTCTCCTATTCCCACTTCCCACCCTATCCTCTTTTACATTTCTCTGAATTTGGTATAAGTGCCTCCCTTTCTTCTCTCTATCCCACCTCTCTTGCCACCTTTTATTTATTTTCTCCTAAATTATGCTTTTAACCTCTGCTTTGTTCTCCCCCATTGGTTAGCTGTTCGAAACGTCACAACACTACAAGGATTCTGGGTAATAGCCCACAGCAAAGTGAGGTCTGATGCACACTTGCGAAAAGGGTGCATTAAGTGCCCTTACGATCACCCCTGGAGAACACATTAGAGGATCGGGACACCCTACGGCCTTGCACCCCTTAGCGAGAACGCGCATTTGAGGGGCACAAGGGCGCAAGTGCGGATATTGGGACAGGGCCTTTAGTCTAATATGGGGAGAAGTCCCACTCACATTAAACTTCCGGGTTCTGAACTGTTGCAGTTCCACTCTGGGTCCATGTGAGGGCGCTCACAGGCGGAGTGCAGAATGAATGGAGGTCTATAGAGCAATACCCCTAAAAATCCACTTTTCTCAGGATATAATTTTTTGTCTAGTAATTTGAATGTTGTATTCGAAAGAAGATGTAAAGAAATTACACATTGCTGGGTGTTAGATTTTTTAGAGTCACTTATTTGCTTTAAAAAGTCTTTTAAAAAGTCAATGACGTCATACACATCGTACGACCAGAGATTCTGCTTTACGGCAATCCTTCAGTCACTGGTGCTTCCGCGCGCGCATAGACAGACGAGAGAAGCCGCGAAATTTACAAAATACTACTGTTATTGTGTCACGAAATGTAGTTTTAATAGTTTTTCAGTCGACAATGTGGTTGTTTAAACCTCAAATCTGTGGTTTATTTATAAAGATAGCGCCTATTTAAAAAAATGATCTGACGTTTTCGGAGTTGTGTTGTGATATCCAAGCCTTTACCGGGGTCTCAGCGCTCTGCACGCCGCCTGGAACAGCCTTTACTCGGTTAATGCTTCTGACGTTTGCCGCTGGCTCTGAAGTCTCGTCTTGTGGTTAAACATGACATATAATTCGTCTTGTGTATATCTAACGGGCGATCTTTGGTCTCATTAATCTTGTTCCCTGGCAAATCGTTTTGGCTGATGGCAAAGTGAAGTTTCATAACTTTATATTATGGCTATTTAACGTTGTATCCTGCTGTGTCTGAATCGTTTACTTTATTTGTTGTCTTGTATAACTCTTCTTATACCTTTTAGGGCGGCTACTTATAATGTTATAATGTCTCTTACTGATCAATAAAACTGAAAAATAGACAGGGTTGTGTCATTTTATTTTATATAGCCTTTTCATTACTATTTTATTTGCTGTATACTGTTTGTTTATTTTATTGACTAAACTATTTACTTATCACTTTATCTTATAATTACTATTTGCACTGCACTGTAGTTCCAAATCGTATTACCATAGATAAAGGATCCATCAGTTATCTTTGTTATTGCTAAAATCGGGTCAATCAAAGAAAATGCTTTTTCCACAATAAGAAAACTATCGCAGCAACGTTCCAAAGCGGCCAATGGGGCGTCTATGTATTTATTATGTCTATGTTTCTGCGTTCTGCACTTTCTTTTCTCTCGAGGCATCGACTACACAGCTGACACAGGTAAATACATGTGTGAGAGTTCTATTAACATTTGCCTCGCTTTGGATAGTTACCATCAAGCGGTATCTCTGGTCGTAATCAGTCCTTCACTGACCAATCAGCGTCCATTAGCAGAATGCTAGCGTGTTATGGGCAACAACAACTCAACCTGTAAGAAATCGAAAGGACATAAGTACTCGTTCATTCAACTTTCGACCTATAACCCATGTTGGACTTGCAAAACCTACATTCAAATCTGAGATTTCTCAATGACAATCGGGTGAAAGTCTATGGGGCCGTTTAGCCCCATAGACTCCCATTCATTTTGCACTCGGACTATTGCCCCCAGTGGAACTCTGGTGGAACTACAACCAAAAATTCGGGACTTAATAGGGAGTGGCCAGGCTTTCCGTCAACGGGCTTTGGCCATTATCTGCGGGGAATGTTGCTGTAATTCACACATCATTTAAAACATGTCGTCTTCAAGTACTACAACAGCGACAAATGGTAAATTTCATTAGTGATTTAAATAAGATAATTTAGCCGATTATTTGTTCTTCTGTTTGCTCATAGCCTATTTGTTTTACTTTCGTTTTCTTGTGGACTGAGATGTTTACTTTCTAAATCTGAACATAATTATAGACCACACTTTAAAATTCGAGCAAATAACTAAAGTGGAATCATGTTCAGAGTTAGTATAATGTCCACCAAAAAATGAAAGTATGTGTTTAAATGTAAAACAATGTAAATAAAAAATAAATTAGGCTAGCAGATTAAACGAAGTTGCCATTAATGCTTAACTTTACTTTGTAACATCTTGAGTTAATAAAATATATAAATGCTTTTAAGCTTTTCCTGCAGTAATGCAAGTATGACTGTGTATTCAATTCACAGTATAGGCTATTCATTCTCTTTCTTTTTTAGATGATATTCGGACAAGAAAAAGAAGTGATAGTTTTGAATTTAACCGTCCAAATAGTAAGTATTTGCCCAAATCATACAGATTTTTTTTCTTAATTTATCTGGATTTAATAAACGTCATCTTTTCATTTTAATTATTTTAGAAACATCTTACTAAAAAAATAAACTTTTAGAAAAGTATTTTTATTTTATTGATGAATCATTAAATTCTGCATCTCTCTCTCTCTCTCTCTCTCTCTCTCTCTCTCTCTCTCTCTCTCTCTCTCTCTCTCTCTCTCTCTCTCTCTCTCTCTCTCTCTCTCTCTCTCTCTCTCTCTCTCTATATATATATATATATATATATATATATATATATATATATATATATACTACAGGGCTGTTGAATGCTTGATTCTGATTGGTTGAGAACGTTCTAAGGTGTGCAATTATTTTCAGGGAAACGCACGGCTAACGTAGTTCCAGGCAGGTCTTGCCCGCATTACAGTTCCATATCACTTCGCATAGTTAACTGTAATAACGGAAAATAGGATACAATTCATAACAAGAAAAAAACATGCAGCCCATGCGCTTGATCTGCAATTTTCGATGTCTAACTTCACAATCAATGGACACATGCAGTTTAATTTTAATAAATAAAGTAGGCCTATATAGTCAATAAAAAATTAAACTGAATAGGCCTATAAATAAATTGATAGTCCTGCTGCACGGGTTTTCGTAATTATTGCAGATAGGCTATAGCAAATAAATAATTATTGATAGGCCTATACTTGTTAATAGGACTTTGTGTTTCATTTATTAGGCTACTGTCAATAGGAAAAAAACATGAAAGAACTAATTAAAATGAATTGAATTAATTAATTAATAAATAACATTGAAGCATGCCTCTCTCTCTCTCTCTCTCTCTCTCTCTCTCTCTCTCTCTCTCTCTCTCTCTCTAATAACTGCATTAATAACTGCATAAAGCCGGGAACACTCTTATTGTAAGGCCGGTTATGAATGTAATTTGATACTTTGTTATGATTGATCATGCCCAAACGCGTGTTCAGCGCGTTCAGTCTGTGTTGAAAATCTGCTGCAGTCGATGGAAACAGAATGTTTCAGCCAGTCGTTAAAGTGTAAATTGCAGGTTAACCACCACAATCAATAATGTGTAAATAAAGTGCTCAATATGTATATATTTAAACATTTCTGTCTTAAAATGCGTTAAAATAACATTTATTGGGGTTTCTTCAAAGGTAGCGTGTTTTTTACAGTAGCAAAATCGCCAGTGTTAAATGAACTCTCCTGGTGTACATATGGAAACACGGATTTGTCCACGGATCTATATGTACACCAGGAGAGTTCATTTAACACTGGCGATTTTGCGACGTCATAAGAGGGAGTCGCAACCCATACTCTGCTAGATTACCACTGTTTGTGGCTTGACTATGGAGAACGAGGAGGTGGAAAACCATCACATTTTTGATGGACCACAGCCTTATAATTTTGAACTAGTAAGGCGTGAGAGAGGGGAGGAAATTGCCAGAAATTATGGCCCTCAAAGAGTAACTAATAAATGCTTGGTGTGAAGAAAATGAGTGGAGGGTTGGTCAGGTGTCCTCATAGACATATACACTAGACGTCACCTTGGGGTTCTAAGCATGCGTCAAAACCGCCGCCATCTTTGAACAGGGGTCTTGTCATAGGAAGTAGCGAGGTAATGCTGCTATCTCTGCCTGTACTTCGAATGCATGGATGATGTCGGACTTGTGCTGCTTATGGATGTTCACACGAACGAATTCTGAACTAGGAAGAACGTTTTTAAAAAAAATATATAAAAAAAATATTTTCTCTGTACTCAATGATAATACATGCCCGACCGTTAGGACGAACCAAAAAAACTATAAAATCGTATATTTATGACGATTTATGATGATTTTATTTCCGTTAGACCTTTGCCTACATTGACGCTGATGCATTAAAGTGGAGGGGGTCCCCTGTTCCAAGATGGCGGCTCTATTGACGCATTCGTTCCAATGAACTGCCGTAGCCAAGGCGACATCTAGTGTATATATCTATGAGGTGTCCTGGTGAGTAGCTAGAGCTAGCCTAGGTTAGCCTGGAGCTAACCCGGATAACATTAGGGAACAAGCCAAAGTCTTTTCAAAATCTTGCCGTCATGTAGAATAGCAAGGAGGGACAACGACTGAAGACATTATTTACTTACATGGTGTTAATAACGTTAGTCCTAATCAGAGCTGTAGAGATGCACAGACACAATGGCGCTTTTGCTGGCATCTGCTGACAGAACGCGATATATTGCCTGTGCTAAAACGCTACTAATTAGTGATGCTCATTGTCAGAAAGAAACAGAGACAGGTGTTTGTGTGGGCTATGCCACCCAATGGACCAGCAGTGGAGGTGTGCTGCCGTGAGGTGAACGCGTTTGGGACCCGCGACCGGCAAATCTGACAAGCCTCACGCAGCATTTTGACGCATGCCCGTTTGTTTTGCGAATAGCTTACTCTCATTTCAGGCAGGATCACGGTCCTCATGAAGCCAGCACACACGAGTATGTTTACAATTGAGTTATTTCATTCATCACGGCTGAATCTAAAAAGAAAGCTTGCCGTTAGATGGTAACTCTACACTGTTAACAATTTATTGTAATTTTACAGGAAATTCCTGGCAACTAATTGCAGTAAATTTACAGCAAGTAATATACAGGATTTTTACTGTTTGCAGTAAAAAAAAAAAGTACAATAAAGTACTGTATTTATACAGCAGTGCTACTGTGATTATAGTAGCATTATTACAGTAAAATGCTGTAATTTATTACAATTTACTGTACATTTACTAAGTTCCATATTAGCCAATTAAAAACACAACAATGGTACAAATTTACCATTGTACAATTTTGGCACCATTATGGTGAACAGTGTTGCCTTTAGTTGGGCAATTTGACTCTAGACTTCTTATGTGAATTTATGGTCATCTTACATCATTTGTTGCAAAGAAAGTCAGAAACAAAAGTGGTCTGGTGATAGGCGTATAATTTACAACATAATAAAATACAAAAAAACAACCGAAAGTGGTTTTGTTATTAATAGATTTTTTTTCTCAACAACATGCTTTTTTTTATACAGATCAGACATCAAGCTGATATTTTTTCTAAAATTGGGAATGTAATATTTGGACACACACACAGACATCAAGAATCTACATATGAATCTCAACAGTGGTGACATGCTTTATGCCGCAATGCATTCTGGTAGGCTACATAGTTTAAAACTCCCAGCATGCATTGTAGCATGTAGCATGTCACCATTGTTGAGATTCATATGCTGATTCTTGATGTCTGTTTGTTTCTAAAAAAAAAATTATAATGATTTAAAAAAAAAAATCAAAAAATGTATACAAAAATTCAGAATGTCTGCCCTGTGTCAAGTAAGGTTAAAGTTATTTATTAATAACAAATTACAACTTTTGGTCAGGGTCCAGGATAAGATTAGTGAATCATTCTCCTTTTTGATAATGAAAACTATAACACCTGAACACCTTTGGTTTTGTTTTCCTATGTAACAAATTATGTGCTTTGGTAAGCACTGTTACAAAGACCAAAATTTAACTTAAAATGCTAAGAGTCAAACTGCCCAACTAAAGTAAACACTGATCACCATAATGGTGACCAAACATTTTAAAACATCGACATCTAACCTCCGTTCATAGACTTATGACTGAAATAAAGTCAGGCTGGTTAGTAATAAGTGAAGCTGGTAATGCTGTTTGTGGAGTTGTTTAATCCTCTTCTGCTGAGATCTTCAGAGATTTAATGTCTTCTTTTTATCTATATCTGATTTTAAAGCTGTGACTGGATATCCATAGACTTATAAAATAGATTTCATGTTAATGTTTCACACCTGATTCTTCCTAAAATGTTTGATTCTGGTACCGTTGGCAGCCGCCGGGCAATTTCAAAATTCAAACAGCAGCGATCCCACAATGCTATGCGGTGGCTGTAAAATAATGCTTCTACAGTGTAGTTACAATAAAATTACAGGACTGTCCACACATTTCCCATCATGCATTTGCATTTACAATAAAAACATGAATACAATATGTTGTTGTAAAATTTATTGTAAAAATTACATCAATTGCTAACAGTGTAGGCTGCTTGCCGCTTGGAGTCCCTGTTATGACGTCACGCCCAGCTTAGCGGAAGGGAGGCGGAGTGCTAAAAACCACTGTAAAAGTACCAACTTTTCATATTATATTCAGCATTTTGGTATAAAAAACATACAAAACAATGGTGGGCGGTTCTTATCTTTAAGCACATTGCATTATCTCGTAAAAAAAATAACCTGCAATTTACACTTTAAGTGTGTCCAGCATTAGTCTGTACGTGGCTCAAACCTCCGTTGCTAACTCTAAAATGACGTTTTGGAATTAGCAACGTAGGCATGGGAAATTAGTCCTACATACAAGAGCGTTTTAATGACAAAAACTTTACAAACGTCTTGAAATACATAATTTGAACAATGTTTCGGGGTGTGGTAACTGTAGTATAAGCGGAATAATTGACTTCAGGCCGTTGAATTATTCGAAAAATAATGCACACCCGAGGTGTAACGGCCACGCCGCTTCGCGTCGTGACCGCATTACCACCTCGGGTGTGCATTATTTTTCTAATAATCCAACGGCCTGTCGTCAATTATTCCTTACATACATTTTTTTTTTTTTTTTTTTTTTTTACTGTATTGTTCAGTGTCTTTGAGAAGGATGGTGCTGGTGGGAAGGACTGGAGCAGGTAAAAGCTCCTCTGGAAACACAATCCTGGGCATGAGAGTCTTCAGAGAAGCAGAAAGTGCTTCATCTGTAACTAAAGAATGCTGTAAGGAGACCGGAGAAGTTGCAGACCATCAGTTGGAGCTGGTTGATTGTCCAGGGATCTTTGATACTTCACTCTCAGAGAATGAAACCATAAAGGAGATGAGTAAATGTATAAACATGATGGCACCTGGACCTCACGCCATCATCCTGGTTATTCAGCTCGGTCCATTCACTGAAGAAGAGAGACTTTCAGTGGAGAAGATCAGGGCTATATTTGGAGAAGAAGCAGATAAACACACACTCATCCTCTTCACACACGGTGATAAACTGACAGAAAGCATTGAGAAAACACTATATGAAGCAGGACCTGAATTAAAACGTCTCGTAGAGTCATGTGGAGGACGGTATCATGTTTTCAACAACACAGAAATTGATGATCGCAAACAGGTCTTAGAGTTCCTGGATAAGGTTGATGACATGTTGCACATGAATGATGGTAACTATTACACCAGTGACATGTTTGATCATGTGGAAGAAATGCTGAAGAAGAAAGAGGAGGAGCTTAGAAAGGAATACAGTCAGAAGATACAGGCACTAACAGATACATTTAAAAAAGGAAAGACCAAACTGAAAGAGACCATTAGACAACTGAAAGAATCCGGCCAGGAAAAAGACCAGAGAATTAAAGAGCTGGAAGAGAAATTGAAACAGAATGACAGACATTTAAAAGAGTCTAAGCGTTTTTATGAGCTAAAACGCAAGAATGTGAGACGAGAGGTGGAAGAGACACAAGTGGATGAAAACATCCCAGAGATCAGCAGTAAACTACGAAAGCTCCGTGTCTGATGTATTTGATCATGGCGTCAGTGATATTTGATCCTCATTATAATTGCATGACCCTTGCGTTTACATTTTAGTATACCAAAGTTTACCAATTATTATTGATCATTAATTAATGTATGCTTTGGTTCTCTTCTTTATTAGACTATAGTGGCCTCATACAGCCCATTAACTCTTCCTCATGTTATTCTAAACTTGTAACTGACTGAATGAATGTGTCTTCTGTGGACTTTGAGTTTTTTTCTGTTATGTTCTGAAAAGTGAACTTTCCCTTTATTTAATTTTTTTATAGAATATCAAATCACGAGGCATTTATTTGAATGTAATGTAAATACTTTTACATGTTATGTGTAGGTTGCATTTCTAAATGTGTTTAAATACATTTTGAGGCCTTTCTCTCTCTCTCTCTCTCTCTCTCTCTCTCTCTCTCTCTCTCTGTCTGTCACAGGCTTGTACACAATTCAGAATTGAATTGATGTCAAAAACAGGATCTAGAATTACAATTTGAATTTGAATTAAAGGAAGCGCAATTGTAATTCAGTAACAATTTAAAGAAATTCATATAGATATTTTAAGTGATTGTTACAGAATTACAATTGTGCTTTAATTCAAATTCGAATGATAATTCTAGATCCTGTTTTTGACATCAATTCAATTCTGAATTGTGCACAAGCCTGTACAAGACATGTTATTACTGAGTCACTGTCAAAAATACTGTATCTACAGTTACAAAATATTCAATACTCAGGAGAAAGACATCACATAAACAATATCTGCTCATGTACAAACACACAAATGTTCTCATTCAGACTGATTCAAGATACATGCTAATTTACTACAAAAATACATGTAATTGAAGGTTTATTTATCATTTAAACATAATGGTCATGCTTGATTCTCTGGCAATAAACCAAATGTTTATTTCCATTTGAAAGCTGCGCCACATAAGATTTTTTGGTTATAAATTAACAAAATTCAACTGAGTACAAAAAAAAAAAAAAACAGTATTCAAATTCTTCTAGCCTGATCTTGATGGTCTAAACATTTATTTGAAAGCTGTTTTGACCCATTGGGTCAGATATTGCAGGAAACTCCATGTCATTCTTCCTGTTCAGAGTTATTAATAAATATGACCTTTTCCCGTCAGCGCGCTTTCCGTTTATTATCTTGGAGGAGTTGAAGATAGCCCTTTTTTATGAAAAAAGTTTTTATTTTTACTCTGTCTTTTTATTTTATTATCACTGTACCCTGTTTTATATTTCCCAGAAAAACAAACAAATGATGTTTTATTAACAAAGTTCGGGAGGAGCACGTTCAGATAATTAAACCTAATTAACACACGTGGAGCACATTCAGATAATCAAACCTAATTAGACACGAGTGGTGCTTAATCAACGAGTTAAGCGCTGTGTATATATACAGCAAACTTACCTCCGTTCATTGACAGTTTAACAGCATCCCTCCACCACCCCATCTCCTCACACTCAAAAAAATGATATGTTGGCTTTACTTAACTTTTTTTTGTAAACAGGTTCCACCGGTTCCACATAACTATGTTTCGTTAAACAAACATAATATGTTCATGTAACTTCAACATCATGGAATTTGGTCATTTTAAGCGACCCAATTAAACTCTGAGCTAATGAGATAATTAAGTGAATAATTGAGTGATGATTGAGCATTATTGAAGACACCTGATGTTAACAAGCAGAATCTCTGAAGGAGAAAACCGGAATGTTTAAGTCACCATTATGGAGATAAGTGTGTGTTTTAGTTGGGCTCTTGACCATTAACTTATTAACTTTAGATTTTGTTTGGTTGCTGTACATGAGTTATAACAGCCGGATGAACAATAAACAAAGGTCATCTGATGGTATTGGTTGTGTTTTAACATAATCATTATTTCACAATAATTTGACCTGAGTCACTGAACTTATATTAAACCGAATTTCTGAGTTAACTTTACCTTATGGATAATAACAGCACTGTCATTGTAGAGCATACTATTTTTTTTTACTTTTCAATGAAATTCAAATGATCAAATCAATAAATAAAAAAGAAACTCCCTAAAAATTATCTTTAGTAGACACACACAGACATCAAGAATCAGCCTGTAAATCTCACCAATGGTGACAATTATAAAGCATGTTGTAGTGCATTCTGGGTGCCACCAATCAAAACTCATTCATGGCTCCCGTCATGCATTGCTGCATGAATAAATAATAAGCTTAATGATCTGTTTGTCACCATTGCTGAGATTCATATGCTGATTCTTGATGTCTGTGTGTGCCTACTCTAAATATTTTTTGGGAAGTTTCTTTTTTATTTCTTGATTTGGTCATTTGAATTTCATTGAAAAATCTAAAAATAGTATGCTCTACAATGACAGTGCTGTTATTATCCATAAGGTAAACTTAACTCAGAAATTCGGTTTAATATAAGTTCAGTGACTCAGGTCAAATGATTGTGAAATAATTATTATGTTAAAACACAACCAATACCATCAGATGACCTTTGTTTATTGTTCATCCGGCTGTTATAACTCATGTACAGCAACCAAACAAAATCTAAAGTTAATAAGTTAATGGTCAAGAGCCCAACTAAAACACACACTTATCTCCATAATGGTGACTTAAACATTCCGGTTTTCTCCTTCAGAGATTCTGCTTGTTATCATCAGGTATCTTCAATAATGCTCAATCATCACTCAATTACTCACTTAATTAACTCATTAGCTCAGAGTTTAATTGGGTCGCTTAAAATGACCAAATTCCATGATGTTGAAGTTACATGAACATATTATGTTTGTTTAACGAAACATAGTTATGTGGAACCGGTGGAACCTGTTTACAAAAAAAAGTTAAGTAAAGCCAACATATCATTTTTTTGAGTGGATGGCACTAGGGACGGGGGGGACACGACCCCCCCAGATTCATAGTGAGCCGATCCGTCCCCCGCCCTCACAAGACGACAAAAATCGGTAAAACCGAGGATTAACCAGTGTTTTCGCTATGTATATTAGCCACGTTCTCAAATTACGCACTTGAGCACTAGTTAAAGCCCAAATTACGCAAAATAACTAAAGTTTAAATCATTTGCTGACAGCTTGGTCCCCCCCAGTTAAAAAATCCTATCTGTGCCACTGCTGGGAGCCACAATAGTATAAAACTCATGGCTCCCAGCATGCATTTCAGCATGAAGCCAATGTTCCACCATTGTTGAAATTAATATGATGATTATTGATGTCTCTCTGTGTGTGTGTGTGTATGTGTGTGTATACAAATAATTATTTCCCAGTAATATATTTTAAAAATCAAAAATCAGATGTTCTGATAAGCTGTAAGAAAGCATTGTAGATAAATATAATAATCTATTAATAAAAAATAACAGCATTTGGTTGGGGATAAGATAAGTGAATTATTCTACTATATGATGCTGAAAACCAAATCAACTGATCATCTTTGTTTCAGAATTTTTTTGTAATAAATTATGTGTTTGGGTGAACACAGTTTCAAAGACAACAAACTCATTAAAAAAAAAGCCACGAGTCAAACTGCCCAAATAAAGGAAACACCGATCAATATAATGGTGACAAACATTTTCAATAGAATATTAACATCTAAACCTATTCATTCTCAAAAAGAACTTCTGCTGAGACGTTGAGAGATTTAATGTCTTTTATCTTCAGCCGATTTCATTTGAGGCTTTGTCCCTCTGACTGTGAGCTCACCATGTGAGACCACTGTGATGTCACTAGAATGCCCCCCCAGTGACTGATATTTGGGCAGTATTTACTGAACACATGTCAGATTTAGGCATCAATATTATCATTAAGTATGTGGTGTGCTTATTCTGACATTTATCGCAGCTGTAGTTAACTCTCCATTTCCACCTTCTCCCTTCCATTCCACTGTCTTTATACTGTCCTTCTCTCCATTTTTGCATGATTCTGCTGTGAACTTCAGCCCAGATAATGTCTCAATATGTTCAAGTGTTGCCTTGAAAGAGGTGTTCAGGATCTCTTCGTTTTTCATTTGTTCGTCTTCCTTGAATTCTTTAAAGAATGATAATATATATTCCTCATTAGGAATCAGATAGCATACTGGCACTTCTACTGTCCCATCATCATTCTCGACAATTATCACCTTAAAGAACAGAGTTGGCACTGCTTTCACATTCTTTGAACCACCATCACTTTTTCTTTTCTTTTTTGATGCATTTTCTGATATCTTTTTTGATTTCTTTTTTGATGCATTTTCTGATATCTTTTTTGATTTCTTTTTTGATGCATTTTTTGATTTCTTTATTGATGCATTTTTAATGCATTTTTTGATTTCTTTATTGATGCATTTTTTGATTTCTTTATTGATGCATTTTTTCTCTTATAATTTGTTGAGTCTTTACTTTTCCTCTTTACTAACAGAGGATGGTTCAGAATAGTCAGGGGATAAAAAGAGTCAGTGTACACTGGTCCAGTGTACACATGGACATTTTTTTTTGTTTCTGTTTTTTTTCGACAAACATTCTCCAGGGTCCTCCAGATGTGAGTGTTTAATATCTTAACCTGTGGTGAAATGTTGCTGAAACAAAACGTGCTATTGTAGGCTTCCTGGCACCAGCTGCACAGCAAAATCCCCAGTGTTAAATTAACACTCTGAGTGTGGACTCATATAAACACTGAAGCAGTGTTAAAGTTAACACTGAAGCAGTGTTAAAGTTAATGAGATAATTAAGTGAATAATTGAGTGATGATTGAGCATCATTGAAGACACCTGATGATAACAAGCAGAATCACTGAAGGAGAAAACCGTAATTTTAAGTCACCATTATGGTGATCAGTATTTGATTTAGTTGGGCTCTTGACCCTTTAATCAATAACTTCAGATTTTGTTTGGCTGCTGTACGTGAGTTATAACAGCCAGATGAACATATAGAAAAGGTGATCTGATGGTGTTGGTTGTGTTTTAACATAATCATTATTTCACAATCATTTGACCTGAATCACTGAACTCATATATAGGCCAATTTCTGAGTTAGGTTTACTTTATTAATTATAGCAGCACTGTCCTTGTATGGCATCATATTTTTAGCCTTTTCAATGAAACCAAATGATAAAAAAAAAAAAAAATGTCAAAAATGATTTAGGTTGGCACATACAGACATCAAGATTTAGCATATTAATCTCAGCAATGGTGACAAACAGATCACTTCTGAACATAAGCTCATTATTTATTCATGCAGCAATGCATGATTGGAGCTGAATGAATGAGTTTTTATTGGTGGCAACCAGAATGCACAACAACATGCTTTAATAATTGTCACCATTGTTGAGATTTACAGGCTAATTCTTGATGTCTTTGTGTCTAAAAACTGTATCAAATAAATTTTTTTTTATATATATATATATATATATATGAGACGTGTATAAAATAAATTTCTGTGGATTACTTTTGTAAAAGTTTAAAACACTATGCTGTGCAAGAATAGTGCTGCTATAATTGAAAAACTAAACCTAATTTGGGCTCTTTATGAGTTCAGTAATTCAGGTCAAATGATTGTGAAATAATGATTATGTTAAAACACAACCAACACCATCAGATCACCTTTTCTATATGTTCATCTGGCTGTTATAACTCACGTACAGCAGCCAAACAAAATCTAAAGTTAATGATTAAAGGGTCAAGAGCCCAACAAAGGCAAACACTGATCACCACAATGGTGACTTAAAATGACGGTTTTCTCCTTCAGTGATTCTGCTTGTTATCATCAGGTGTCTTCAATGATGCTCAATCATCCCTCACTTGTTCACTTAATTATCTCATTAACCTTAACACTGCTTCAGTGTTAACTTTAACACTTCTTCAGTGTTTATATGAGTCCACACTCAGAGTGTTAATTTAACACTGGGGATTTTGCTGTGTGTGATTGGCAGCGGCAGCAAGATGACCTTGTTGAAGTTCTTGTTGATCATCTCCAATCTGCATGAATTTGCCTAACCCTAGACCTATGTGATTTCTAGCTAAAGTCCTCTCGTTCAGTATCTCATACACCCATTCAGCATTCTTGGTTTCTTTGTTGTATGACGTGACATAATGTTTTTTTTCCCTTATATCAGTAGGCCTACACTGTAAAAAAAAATCCTAATTTTACAGAAAATAACTGTGATTTTTTGACGATCATTTTCTTTCATTTTAAATTGTACTCAAAACACTGTAAAATTACAAATAATATCTGTAAAATAAAAATTCAGCTGTTATTTTAGGTATTGCGACATTAATGACAAATTGCAGTAATTCACATTTTTTATACAGAAAATTTATTGTATTTTTCATACAGTATTTTTTCTGTTTTCTTAAATTACATAAAAATGTATGTAAAATTACAAATATAATCTGTAATTAAACAGTAACAAAACAGTTAAATGATAAAACGGTCAAATGACTGGCAGCCCCCAAAAAACTGTAACATTAAAGTAAAACATCCTAAATTAAATAAACTGAAAAACACTGTGATAATTCAGGATATACCTGTAAAATAACAATCATATACCTTCATTGAAAAAAAATCGTAAAAAAAGGGTCAAATGACTGGCAGCTACGGCTGCCAAACAAAAACCATAAAATGAAAGTAAAATCTTCTAATTCAAATAAAACAACAAAAAAAAACTGTTATTTCACAGGTATTTCCTGCATTATTATGATCATATACCTTCATTTTTAAAAAAAATCGTAAAAAAAGGGGTCAAATGACTGGCAGCTACGGCTGCCAAACAAAAACCATACAATTCAAGTAAAATATCCTAATTTAAATAAAGTGTAAAAAACTTTAACAGAAATGTGATGTCACCATGATTGAGATCAGTCTTTGCTTTAGTTGGGCTCATGACTCTTGAGTTTTAACATTACTTTTTCTCTGGCTGCTTTAATTGTGTTTTGATGCACATTTATTATGGCAATAATTGCAAGAGAAAATATCAGATGATCTTGGTCATTTATTGATGATTTTATAGTCATTATGTGATGATCTGATTCACTGATATGACAGTCAAATCTCTATTAGCTGTGAATAAATTATATATAGATGGACTTTAGTGTTATACAAAGGCAATTATTAATATCATACTTTATTCACATGTTTTTTTATATTGTGGCATCAGTATTATAGCAATCTCAAATAAAAAAAATAAAAATTCTACATAAAATGTTTTGAGTTGGTTTATTTTGTTAGGAGTAGAGAAACATCAAGAATCAACATATGAATCTCAACAATGGTGACAATCAACAAAGCCTTTTTGTGACTTTATAATAGGTCCGAATTTTTTTAGTTGTCACCATTGTTGAGATTCATACGCTAATTCTTGATGTCTGAGTGAGTCTGTAAGATCCTGTCAAAACATTTCCTGCATAATAACTTCATAAAACCTTAATATCACAGAATTGCAGGATCTTCTATAGCAATACTGGCATTCTAAATTAACACATAATATTTTACAACTTATTCAGTTAGTAATAAGTCATGCCAATCAGGTGGTATCAATAAAGCAGACAACTGCTTGATGTTTATTATCACTAATAAGTGACCAACATCATCTGATCTGAGTTTTTCTCGGTTTCCTACAATAACAAATATGTATCAGAGACACACAGTTAAAGCAGCCAGAGAAAAACTAATGTTAATATCTGAAGGGTCAAGAGCCCAACTAAAGCCAGCACTGATCTCTATCATGGTGACATCAAACTTTATTATTTTAAATAAAATATCAACTTCTAAACCTCTGTTATTTCTCAATAAGAATGTTAGTATGAAAGAAGTCTGGATTGTAATAAGTGAAGATGCTGAGATCTTGAGAGATCTGTTAGTGTTTAATGTTCTGTTGGGATGTAAAGTGTTTCTGTATGGTGTGTTTTGTCTGTCACCATTGTGTTGACGAGTAGAGCCTGAGCTTCAGTCCAGGATGAGCAGAGAAACACTGATGAAATGCTGCATGTTGTTTTATTTAACAGACAGTAACTGTGTAGTTGCTGATGACATATAATCACAGTAAATCATGCATGTAGTTTATAGCAAGATATTTACTTTTTACAGTGATTATGTTTTTTAATAAAAATTCAGTAAATATATATATATATGTGTGTGAAATAACTGTGTTTCCGTTAAAAAGATTAATGAAGATTTCTGCAATAGTATTTATTTATTTAAATTAGGATATTTTACATTCATTTTATGGTTTTTGTATGGCAGCCATTGCTGACAGTCATTTGACCTTTTTTCACAGTGAAGGTGTTTGATCATAATAATTCAGGAAATAACTGTAAAATAACAGTGTTTTTCTGTAAAACATTTAAGGACAAAGTTTGGAAAAGTTTTTTGCACTCAATTTAAATTAGGATATTTTACTTTATTTTTACGGTTTTTGTTTGGCAGCCGTAGCTGCCAGTCATTGACCGTTTTTTTACGATTTTATTTTTTACAGTGTATCTGAAGGATATCCATCTATAAATTTATAGTTAGAGCTAACATGATCTGCATCTTCCAATTCACCGTGAGACAGTGCAGATAGTGGGATCTTTATGTAGAGGGTTTGAGAATTAGATTTCTCTAAATCCATTTTCCCTGTTCCATTGTCTTTTTGAAGCTTTTCTTTTGAAGGATTTTCAGACATATCATCAGTTTCATTAAAAGTTGAATGCTGACCTCCTGATTCTGCACCTATACTCTCTATTTGAGTGTGTTCAGATGAACCAGTTCTAGAATTCTGCGTAGCTTGTCCTGCACACTCATTATACAAATGAGCCATCATCTGCAGCATTATCACACGAGCCCAGTGTTTTTTATCAGATTTATTTTTTATATTTTTGGCTTCATCCCAAGCTTGTTTGATTTTTTTAATTTCCCAGAATTTAAGCTTCTTTTCAATGTGACATTTAATTTCAATCTTTTCTTTAGCCTCATTCAAGCACTGAAACCCTTTAAAATATGTTAACAAACCCATAACTATATGTTTAGTGTCATCTGTGGGGTTTGTTTCCCCTTCCTCGAGAGTGGCATTATCATTTACAGAATATTCAGAAAGTTGTCTTGCTGTACAACTCTTAAAGAGGTTCAAATTCATTTTGTTGTAACACAGTGACTAAGGAACAAATCAGGCTTGACTCAATCCGGTATTATCACTTCTTGAAGGACTTCAACCAAGGAACTTCTCTTTAGGTCTGGCTAAAATAGTCAATTTCTTTAAACAAAAACAAACAAACAAACAAACAAACAAACAAAACCATAATAGTCAAAATTCTGCTTAATGTAAGAGTTATGTTTGTTCAGAAAAGACAGAAAAATATACATACTTACGTCACCAGACTGTGAACTTCTGCTTTTCTGATTTACGCCAGATCTGTTCTGTTCTGCACACAGAATTAATGAATATTAAATACCCATAAAATTCAAAGCTTATACACAGGGTGAGATCAGAGAATCGTACATGTCCAGGATGATTATGGCATCATCACAACAGCAAAGACACCTGATCATCTTCCTCTTGGCTTTTTCTTGTTTTATAAACTCACAGTTACAGCAGCCAGAGAGAAACGTTATAAAGTCAAGACACCAACTAAAGCAAATACTGATCTCCATCACTAATCTTCAAAGTATATTCCTGTAGGCTTTTTTTTTTTTCAAATGAAAAATATAACCCAGAATGCATTGTTTTCTACGGTATATTACTGTTTTAATGGAAAATGGTATGATACTGTAAGTATTTGACCTTTTTTTCAGCAAGGGTTAACAGTGCAGTTTAAATGAAAGATGATAACGCATAAGAAAGATAACGCAGCATCTATTGTTATTGATTCTTTGCGAAAGTCTACCGTAAGTTTGGGCCACAAAAGCGTGCCTGCTTAGTAACGTTTGTTTATATTGTTGCCGTTGAAACCATCTGCTTTATGTGGGCGGCAGTGGCTCAGTGGTTCATGTGGGTTGTCTACAAACCGGAAAGTTGGTGGTTCAATCCTCGGTTCCACCTGACCAAGTGTCGAGGTGTCCATGAGCAAGACACCTAACCCCAGCTGCTCCCGACGAGCTGGATGGCGCCTTGCATGGCTGCCGTCGCCCGTCGGTGTATGAATGAGTGAGTGAATGGGTGAATGTGAGGCAAATTGTAAAGCGCTTTGGTGGCCATTGGGTCTGTGAAAGCGCTATATAAATGCAGTCCATTTACCATGTGCATCCAAGCTCAAAAAACACTTTCATTTTCTCATAATATACAAATGCATGATAATATACAATACACATCACCTACTTTCTCTATGGGGCATTTTCCCGGACAAAGACTAGGCCTATTCCTAGACTAAAATGGCCCTTTAAACCAGATTAACAGAAATCTGCTTTCTCTATCATGATGACACACACATGCATATATACAGTATATACTGTATTTACATTTTTATTTCAGGATTCTTTGATGAATGAAAAGTTTAACCTGTTAACTGGCACCCCCCTTTTTTTTGCATAGACATAAAAATCACTATCCAAACTTAAATGGTTGTAATTCAGGAATGCTTTGGAATATAGACTTATGGCTGGTCTTGTTTTAAAGAAGACATTTTCCAGATTATTGTAGAAGTCCAGAAATTGTAAAAAATGAAACAGAAAAAAAGTTATATAAGTTTGAGTTTATGAAATTGTGTAATGTACAAATATAATGATTAATATTTTATATAAAATATATATATTACAAAATATATTTTACTCTAAAACTGCAAGAAAAATAAAGTCAAATATCTGAACAAGTTGTATTCCAAATTTTAGGTTGATATCTCAAAAAATGAGCTTTCAGTAAGATTTTATTCGGACGCAGTACCCAACTTTTTCACTAGGTGAACACCAGACTCCATTACTGCCCATATAAGGGCGCCTCCATTTTCATATGTTTTGAGTGATCTGAACCATGTATTTCCATAATTTTCATACAATTTATGAAGTAGACATCCTATTCAGAAGTAGTAGGGGTGGTTTGGCAGTATTTGATTTGAATTAAACCTCTAATAAATGCATAAAGACTACGTTATAGCGTTATAGCTCGCAGCCGCATTACAAATTGAGAATCCATACATTTTTCTTTATATTTAAAACATTTTCAGACCTTTTTTCTCATAAAATGGAATTGGTGTTATCTTTTGAACTCATGGCATGAAAACAAACGGAGGTTTCTACCAATCTTTCATGATTTTTCATGTTTATTGTTATTTCAAAATAAAGGCCTAAATACTCCTAATGAATATGAAATATTCTTGTTGCAAATTGATAAATTTCTGCTCCTCTGTAATATATTTTAGATAACAGCCACCAAATATGAAAACTAGAGATTTTAAGCTTTCAAATGATATATAGTTTGGCAATATTACTTTAGGTTTTTACTAAGATATTATTGTTTTAAACATGCAATGGCAAATGGGCCCGCCGGCGCTTTTGTATTTTTCTCGTTCCTCAATACTGATTGTAAAAAAAATGGACAAATGATTGTATCCTAATTTAAATAAAGTGCAAAAAACTTTAACAGAAATATTTTACTTGTATTTCCTAAAATAATAATTGAAGTGACTGGCAGCAGCAGAACATTAAACACTAACAGATCTCTCAAGATCTCAGCATTTTCACTCGGTACAATCCAGCTTGACTTTATTTCTTTCATACAAAACTTCTTATTGAGAGGTTTAGTTGTTGGTGTCTTATTGAAGAAAAAAAAAATTGAAAAATAAAAACCATTATGGTGATCAGTGTTCTCTTTATTTGGACTCTTGACACTTTTTTTTATGTAAATCTTTTTAAATCTTGAAATCATTTTCTGTTGCTGCTTTAACTGTCTGTTTCTGAATATGTTGAGTTACATTTTAGGAAATTTAGACTTTCACATGCTAAATATATAAGATGGCACAAGTCATTTATTGACAGGATCAGATTATGTTTCATTAATTTTCTGTTGTTACAGTTTAACTGGTAAAATCCTTAGCCATTTAATTTCATCAAGATTGCAGAAGAATGGAAAGAGTGTGTCAGTAAAGGTGGTTGTGAATGTGTGTAGATGTGTGTTAGTTAAAGGATCAGAGAATGTCACCGTTCCTCTGTCATAGTCCAGATCAACTCTCACACGCTCAAGATCCTGTTCAACAGGAAAACCAGACCCAGAAAGTCTGTACGGATCGTACTCCACAGACCAAACATCAGTGTTACAGAAATCACGTCCCTTCCTCTGGTTTGATGCTGTAGTTACTCCAAGACTCCAGCATTCACTCTCTTTAACCTCCACATCCCAGCTGTGTGTTCCTGAGTTAAAACCCTCTGAACCCAGAACACAATCAAAGATGTCAAATCTCTCTGGATTATCAGGAAGAGGTTGTTCGTCCCAGCTGTATCTCACACTGGTCAGATCATCAGACAGGACGAGACGTGGATGAGCCGAGTTTGGATCCAGAATCACAGGAGCTGATGAGACACAATCAACAGGTACTTTTGTTCTGTTGTTCATATAATGCACACAGATTGTTATGAATTACGACACTCGTCCTATTGATCAAGCAGTGCTGCGCAATCAGTTTTTAAACTCATCATTCACTAAAAGCTTTAAACTACAGCATCATTTAGACCAGCGGTGCCCAATCCTGCTCCTGCCAATCGACTGTCCTGCACAGTTTATCTCCAACCCTAATCAAACACACCTAAAGCAACCAATTAAGGTCTTCGGGATCACTTGAAAATTAAAGGCAGGTGTGTTTGATTAGGGTTGGAGATGAACTGTGCAGGACAGTCGATCGGCAGGAGCAGGGTTGGGCACCCCTGATTTAGACACACACAGACAGCAAGAATCAGCAAATGAATCTCAACAATGCTGACAATCAACTAAGTTCAGTTGATTTAATCTTTTTTCAGTTCTTTTTGTTTCTCTTGATCAGTGATTCTGCTTGTTAACAGCAGGTGTTCATCAGTATACGAATTAACTCACCTGTTTTTATTCACTCAGTCAATTGGACTATATTAGTGAACTAATGTAGGGAATAGTGAATGAGGGTATAGGGTGTGATTTGGAACACAGACTCTGAGTGTCGTCTTTGAGCGCTGTTAATTCACAGTATATTCCTGTAGGCTACTTTCTCGAAAACGTCAAATATTACCCAGAATGCATTGTTTTCTACTGTGTATTACTGTTTTATGTAGTACTGTAGTATCGGATCGGTACTCTGTATCGGCCAATACTGAATCCCAGGTATTGTATCAGAGGAGGAAAAAACGGATCGGAGCATACTTATCTCTGAGCAGTGTTGAATTAACTGGGGATTTTGCTCTGTATTACATTTGTCTTTGAGAAATTTCAGATTTTCATCTAATGTCAACAGAGCTGATATTGACAAAAACAATCAATCATTCTACACAGCTAAATTAACACTGCTCAGTGTTTATATAATCCACACTCAGACTGTTATAAGTAACACTGAAGCAGTGTTGAAGTTAATGAGATAATTAAGTGATAAATTGTGTGATGATTGAGCATTATTGAATACACCTGATGTTAACAAGCAGAATCACTGAAGGAGAAAATTTTAAGTCATAATTATGGTGATC